TATGGGACATGATAATTTCAAGCCCCTAGTTGTATGTGAGACAGGGTTGCTTTAAAAAAAATAAGTTATACATTTATATGTTGCATTGCTATATCATGCAGGATATGGAAGGGGGCCCACGGCAGAAAATTAAAAAAGCTATTTAAAAGCAACTAAACAAAAAAGGTAGAAAGGGGCACATTATTCAGGTACCTTTTATGGGGTCTAAAATGTAATAAAAAAGGGGAATATTTTGTACTTGAAGTACTATTGAATGCCACTGGGATTTCGGGAGAGAGGGGACTGGACATGGTCGTTGTGCCTTCTTCCCCCAATCTTGTCAATGCTACATGTATATGAGGTCCCTTCTCCTTTATAATAATGTGCATCTTCATCAAAGATTGGCATTCGATTTTTTTCAGCTTGTAAATGTGCCATTGTAAAAAGGAGCTTGACCATTCACATTTTTGTACTTGTCTATAGAATTCATATTTAGTTGATTTAGAACATTTAAAATTAGCTATAAATTGTATGATATAGTTTCACTCATGTATGTAGCGCCAAGCGATTGAAAGCTTATACGGGTTACCATATCTCTAATATGTGTCTTTAAAATATGAATAGAATATCCAAATAAACAAATTCAAGAAACCCATGAATTTATTGTAATAACAACTAAGAAACATTCGTTTAAGTGTGGTTAATGGTATTTTGTCAGATTTGCTTTTTCACATTATACAATTTCAATGGTACGCATATGAGTATTATTTCCCTTACATTTCCCAGTATTTCCCAGTACTTTCCAGTATGCCTCGCCCGGGCTGGAAATTGCCAATCTTGATAATTTCAAAATAAATTTTGGAAATATTATAACAAATCAGAAAACATCAGAAAACTTACTCCATGCATAAAAAACTAACAAATTATGCAAAAATCAAACTTATTTTTGTATAAATATCATCCAGTCGATTGTCTATTTCCATGTTTGTAAGTTTAATGCCCTTTTAATGGGTGAAGGAGGATACATTTTTTATTAAACATTGCATAGTCATCATTTTTTTTATTCCAAGAGTGTGTTCCCTATGATGTTTTGAACTATTAGGGAATGCCAATCATTATCCGAGGGCTTTGAAGTAGAACGGAGAACCTATTTACAACCTGTTATTGAACTATTGAACTCCTTTGTTCACAGTCAATGTTATTGTGTTCGGAATCATTTTTAGTATTTGCCCTGGTTCAATCAAAAGACTTCCTCCTTCTTTTTTGCTATTCTTTTTATTTTAGTATAAAAAGGACTTTAAAATATGACACATTTAGTTTTGCTTCACAGATATTTGTCGAATTCTTGCCCCCCCCCCTCCTAAGAAAATTGAGGATTTGTCACAGAAGCATGTTGAATGATCATTAATGCTAATACTACTACTATTACTACTACTACTATTACTACTACTACTACTACTACTACTACTACTACTACTACCGGTACCACCACCACCACCACCACCACTACTACTAGTACTACAACTACTACCACTATTTTAACTGCGTCCATTTCAGTCTTTAGACAAACGTGAAGCCAATATCTCGATATCACATTAAGATGTTTTTAAAAAACATGATAAAATCATAATCGTGGATAAAATACATAACGGATAATTGTACTCCTTCGCGCTCTAAGACAAGATTATTCAAACAGGCAAACTTTTTCCGTGCATTATGACATAATCAACCCTGATTTTGCAGACCCATGTTTTTTGTGTAATGAACAAAAACATAATCGTTATCATGTATAAGTAGATGTCGGAGCTAATTATCCTTAGTGATAGTTATGTTAGAAGTATTATCCGGGCCGCGTCTTATTTTTTCGTACCACGGCGAGGCCAGATTCCAGTATGTACTCATTTTCATACATAACAAGCTACGTAAGCTTGCAAAGTGGTCACAAACAATCAGACTTTGATTATTTATTGCTTTGCCTCGCTATTTATAAAGGCAAAAAAACTAAATAAACTGAGATATGAACCCTCAAATCAACGTCAAAGTGCTATTAGTAACACGCTGTCCTTACAGATTGAGCTGACGATGAGTTGATGAAAGATTGATTTGTATAATAACTATCACCCTATTGACCACCCAACCGGATTCCATGTGCGCATGCGCTGGTTTCCTTCGCGAGTGCGCATGCGCAGGTTTCCCTCGCGAGCTCAATCTGGCCTCGCCGTGGTACGAAAAAATAAGACGCATCCGGGCCAGTGTAAGTTCGCGCGCGCGTGTGTGTGTGTGTGTGTGTGTGGGGGGGGGGGGGGTCCGGGCCGTTTTTCGGGTGGTTATCCGGAGAGAGTTGTTCCGATACTCACTAAAGACATTTGTAAAAAGAGCAGAAGTTTTCTTGAGCACCATTATCTAGATTTAAAATTAGTGGACAATGAATTTGTAGTCGAGTGTTTTACCCGAGTCCATCAACAAGGTCGACAAACACTTACAACAGACCTTTCAATATTCATTTTTGTAGCCCGAATCGGAATGGCCAACAATCGGTCGGTTTAAAGTCGGTTCGGCGGTGTGACCGAGGTATTTAGTTGTAGAAAAACAGAAGATAGATTCCGCAAGACAAGGGGACGAATGTTAATATTAGCTATTGATGTTCTAAGCAGTGATCGAGGATTTAAAAATATATTTGTTCTATCTTTTTATGTATACGAACAATTCGCGGTAGTATAAAACGATGGTCACGATGTCTATAGATAGATAGATAGATAACTGGTTTATTAATGAAAAACATCATTGCGGCATAGCCGAATTGCGATGATTTTACAAATATTCCTTTTTAAAAATGACATAAATACATTTGTACAAACGTTTAAAATACATTTGGAAATATAGATTCAAAAACATATTGCATATATTCAGACTGTTTCAAAAATTGATATTATTGTTATTATGATATTATGATAATACTGTGGAGTAGGAGGATATAAGTTTAAGGAAAAACTAAAAAGTGCCCATTGTAGACAGGTTGCTTTTCTAGACCGGTTCTTCAACACATACTTCCTTCTACAGGGAAGCAATATAAGTGACTAATTTAGACAGGTGGCCTTTATATAGAGGTGGCCAAAGATATAGGTTTGACTGTATTTTTCAAATACTGTACTTATGAATGTAGCAAGGGCGGCGATTTCTTCTCATGAACTGGGGGACGAAATGCGAGGGACGAGGGAGCATAGTGAACGACAGGGGCGAAGGTGACGGAAGTGAAAACCCCCTTACAGGTGATACAGGTGATACCAACGGAATACAGATTTTCTACAATAATTACTTGTACATTTTGAAATATATTATTCGGGGGAGCGTACCGACCGAGCGAGAAAATTTTGGCATTTTTTATTAGTCTAAACGCTGCACTTTTGGGCTCTCCAGAGCCTAAAAGTGTGTTGCAGTCTTATGTCAGTATTTGCTATACATTTTCTTTTTTGCATTTTTCACATTTTCCGATCCCTCCTAAAAGAATGGAGGAAGGGGGACGGGGGACACGTCCCCCGGGATCGTCGCCCCTGGAGAACAATCCCTTTATTCTGGCAATGCTTCTCTTCATCTCTCTAGTCCAGAGCCACTTTCCAACCGGACGGACAAGGCCATTCGAAAGAGACAAGTTAATGACTTTCATAAAGACAGGGAGCAGTGACTAAAAGCTTTGTTGGCATGGGATACAGAAAACCCGATTTGATTTTTAAGGTTTTTGACCAATTTCTCAATATATTTTTCAGGTGATGTTTTAAAATGGGTCAAGATTTGAGAGTGTGAAATAAGAAAATGGTTACTATCCAAAAAGATATCATCAGGAGTACAAGTTCCACCTTTCACAGCTTACTTAATATCAGAATGAAATCTCACTATCTTATCGAAGAAGAAGCTTCCTAAATCATTAAAAAATGTTCTCTTATCAAGATGAGGAGGTATCATAGGAAATACCGTAGGATGAAGATTGATCATATTCAAGGAAGATTTAGTCATATTAAAAAGGCTCCTTTGATCTGAGCTGTTTTCCTTTATCATGTCAGAGTAATTATGTATGACGGGCACTATTCTTAACAAATAATGTCTTATTACGAGCAGCTTTAAAGCTCTCGTAATCAAGAGGGGATCTTGTTCTCAGTCATCATCTTCTTCTTTTTCTTTCTGAAAAGTGCAGGCTTCGTAAAATTAAGATTAATTTGAGTTGAAAATATCTGAAAGATTTGCGGTTACGAGCAAAATCAAATGACCTATTTTCACTTCACAGCCCTCCTTGTTGATCCCATCGACGAGCATGAGAACGATGAGGGTTAATGTTTGTCTTCCTACGATGCCTCGACCTGACCAACTTTTGTATTTCCTTGTAATTTATGTGAACACATATTTTGTCCCTTGGTACTTGGTACTTGGTTGGGTAATCCCTTTGGCAGCTCACTTAGGAAGCTATACTGGGATGGTAGGTGAGGCGATTAACTACAAGGAGTGTCATGAATTACAGGAATGGTGTGTGGACAAAGCACTCGTTAATTTACAGTAAAATATGCTAAGTCCAGTGCAAGTAAAAACCAAGCTAGTAAGCTTATATCAGGGAGGTGTCACTTATAAGTGATACCTCCCTGCTCATATGATGTGAGAACCAACAGGGGGCTGCATCATTCTGATGGAGGGTAGAGCAGCCTCATTTAAGTTGGTTATTCCTGTTGCATTGACTGCTGAACCTGACAGATGCTTACAGATCCTTATTGCTCTTGAAACAAGTGTTCCAATTCATGTTTCTTGATAATGTGAAATATTCAAGCTTACATCTAAAAGTTTTCAACAAAGAACCTAATTTCAGCAGTCCACCATTCATTTTTGAGTTACGAAAAAAAATTAAAAAAAAAAAAAAAAATCAAATTTACAAGGGGTATGAAGAATTTAGTTGTTCTCTCATGTCATTTCACAACATAATTATTATACATAAATAGGATTCATTGTGCTACCAACTTAAACCAATTTCTTGTACATACCGTAATCGCCGATTTCAGACGTTTAAACTCCCCTATGATCGTCTTCTTCCGATAGTAGCTGTCTGGTCGAGGCATCGTCGGTAGACCAACATTAGCCCTCGTTGTTCTCATGCTCGCCGAAGGGATCAACAAGGAAGCCTGTGAAGCAGTGGTGGTCGCGAGAGACGACGATGTGGAGGTTTGTCTGTATGTACTGTTACCAGAGCTGTAACCATTGGGAGGAGTGGCGTTCTTGCCCCCATCAGCTGGTGAGGGGTAAGTCACCTCACCCCTCAGCATCTTCACGATCGCTTGGTTTGACATGGTCAGATGGTGGACGAACGAGCTCGAAAACGAAGCGATCAGAAAAACTACGAAGTAGATTACGACGACATGGCTGGTAGGCCTACGGCCTCAAACGGATCACGCGTACGTGAAGATCCTATAACATAAGAAATGACAGGTGTATCAGGTCTAAATCACCCAGGAATATGTAACATTCTTACGTAACCACCGCACAGCTGATCGTCAACACGTTACCCCGAACAACGCAGCTTTTGACCTATAGTACAAATTTCAAATAATTCAGCAAACGCTGCACGAACAGAATGTACGGAAGTTCATCAAACCTATATGAGTTTCCTCAAAGACATGTATAACAGGGTTACAATACACATGCGTCTAGTGTGCGTCATATACAGAGATGAAGGAGAATCGAAATTTCATTCACTAAAATGTGACGCTTCGATCGTCATCAACAAGGCAACTATTATGCTGATGTATCAGACCATGATGCCTTTTAGCTACTAGCCGAAAATGGGTTTGTCTGCAATTTGAAGCTGATTCGGCTTTTATTCTGACTAGAAAAAGCTAAATGCGCTAGAATGTATTATTTAGAACCTATTTCAGGAAGAGAGTGGTTGTTTAGATTGCAATATATAATATAATTTAAGCTATGGCGGTGTTGTGCGTGTGCAGTGACACTTCACTATCTTTACAAAATGCATGCCCATCGCCTGCACTCCATACCCTCCAACTAATAGCATATTAACACCAGCCTACTACTTCGAATGCGATGAACTCGCTGATCTCCGAAAAGTGGAGGGACAACAACAGAGAGAGTGCTTTAAATAAACTCTAGAAAATTTGCAAAATATATCACGTTATTTTTCAAGCTTTTGCAGGAATTTTTGTGTTTTAGCAGCTTTTTGATATCCCAGCATATTTTCATGGATTCCTGAAGTTGAATTTATACTCGATCGGAGTGATTCAGAAGTTTTTCATTTGAATCAAGCTGCAAACCCTTGGCAGCCATCTTGATTTCTTCAGCTACCTCTAAACGATTCATTGGGATGATAGGAAACTGCGGTATCCAACAAATGGTGAAGTTCCCAATAAGACACAACATTATCTTAGACTTACTCATATTAAACAGGCCTTCCCTTTCTGCCCCCTTTCCCTTTTTCATAGCCACCAAAATCAAAAGGGGAGGGCCGCAGCCGATCCGCCCCCGATCCGCCACTGATTCATATATCTATGCATGCATTACGCAAAGCTTGCGGTGGGGTTGAGTTTCCATCTTATCTAATACGTTTTTGACCTTTTCTTCTCTTGTTTTCTTTTACTTTCTTTCTCTTACTTTCTCCTTTTTTCGCTCCTTTTTTGTTAGGCCACCAAAGTATGAGGTGGGCGCAGCTGATTCTACCCCCCCCCCCCTTTTGATTTTGATAACTTTGATAAAGGGAAAAGGGAAGGGAGAGAGCGACGGAGGAAAAGAAAGAGATATTAAACAAATAAACAACAAAATAATACATTATTTATAACCTTCCTCATTATTTTGTGCGATAAAAGCTCTACTTAAATTTTTATCTTTGTACAATTGTCAGAAAATACTAAAAATCCAAGATGCAGGTTATAACGAATGGGGACCAAATCCTTTGTTTCTACATTCAAGATTTATTTTATTCAATACTCCCGATTTTTTGGCGGAATTGTTACTGAATTTACATATTTAAGGAACAAAACACAGATCCAATAAAAATAAAATAACAGAAAAAAAGGAAATTGGAAATCTGAAATGATAATAGAAATTAATCTAAGAATGGGAAACCATGAGAAATTCATGAAAATAATAACCAGCTGAAAGAAATTTAGGAACAAAATTCAATGATGAATACAAATTATTTTCAGTCGTTGAATATGTATTTATTGGGAATAGAGAAAATAAATATTGTTTTTGAATTACATAATATATTGCGCATCATAATTTGAATAATATAAATCAAATATCAGCAAAATCTACTTCGCAATATTAGAAAGTTGACAAAGACAAAATACTAAACGAATCATGCATTCCACAAAGATAGACATAACATTAAGTGATATGAAAAATTACCGTAAAAGAAAAGAAGCAATTATTCAATGATTGTCGAGTAAATTTTCACTGGTATACACAAAGGAATACATCAACAAATATATATATATATATATATATATATATATATATATATTTCGGCGAAAGAAGTTAAAATGCTGATGGCAATGATTTTTTTTTAATAACAATAATATACAAAAATACACTGTCTTGAGAGGTTTTGGTTTTAACTATGGGCAAGAGGTGACTCCACAATACCCGGGCCACAATAGTGCTATTTGCTGAGGAGCGTAGCACCGAAGTAAAAGTTACTATTGATGTCACCGATGCCCATAGTTTTAACCAGTACCTCAAAAAGGAGGCGGCAGGTTATATTTGTTTTATATCCTGCAATAAAAAAAAATAAAAAAAATTGTATTGAAATTTTAAAAATTTAGATTGTTTTTTAATCGGAATTTTAAACATTTTAAACATTTTGAAATTCATAAAATTAAAATAAAACTATCAACAAAATTGTAGACAAAAATGAGACATAATATTCAACAATTTCTCTATAGGGGATACTCATAAGATTAACAACAAACAAAACAAAAACACAGATATATATAAGCGTTGCCTTCAGAAGCACTGACACACTAAGAAGTAGGTTGGTCCATCCAAAAGACCAAATTCCAAGAGAGTAAAAGTCAGGCATTGTGTACAAGATTACTGGCACATATTGTAACAACTCTCATGTTAGGGAAACGGGCAGAGCTTTTAATGAGCGATCAAATGAACGCAAAAGAGCCCTCAGATTGAGTAACCCATCCCGTTCAGCTTTAGCTAAACACGCCCTCAACACAAGATATTATGTTGGATGGTACGATGCCCTTATTATCGACTTTGAAAGCAACTTCTGGTTGAAAGAGTCAATATGGATTAAGAGGATTAAGCCTATACACTAAACAGGGACTATGGATATGTCACCTATCTTCGGTCCAGTGATCGCAAGACACCAGGCAACGCTAAGAAAACGTGTGACTGATCACTTAGCTTGAAAAAGTCCACAGGAGTGGACGAAAGCTTGCCCCCCCCCCAATTCAAGGATTGTAAAAGATTTAAAAACTACATTTTTGATGATCAAACATTGCTAATATATCTACTGAGTAATAAGGTTTATATCTTCTATTATAAAAAAAACATTTAGTGATGGACTAGATTTAATATATAATGAAAAAGTGTTCCCGATTTTGAGCCGTTTGAAGAAAAAAATACAATTTTTAGGTCTTTGAATGCTCTCAATTAGTCTCGATCAATTGAGACAATGTCAGAGATAAGAGATAAGTACTCTATATAGCATTGGCATGGTGCAAGTTGGAATACGTCATATGAGATGATCTATTGTTGGTAGGCCAAATTTCTTCAGAGTACGGATTGCTTCAGGCCTTTGATACACTTTTGTCAATAATTATGAAGGTTTCATTTGAGGTCACTTTGAATTGTTACCCCTAACGAATTTGTATCTTCACACATGTGAATCGGTATAATAGTGGGCTCAAATCTAGCTGAACTCTTGTTGAAGGAACCAATGATATAAATATAATCGCATGATCAAGCAAAACTATAATTCACAGCAATTTGCAGGCTGTATAATAATTTATTGTTAGCTGTGGACCAAGGTGATGAAGTTGTATTGATGCTTTTAGACTATTCTGCGGCTTTCGATACCAGTAGTCGTAATGTGTTTCTTGATCGCTTCCGTAATATATATATGGTGTATCAGATACTGCCTTGAATTGGTTTAAAACTTATTTTATGAATCGTTCCCAATCTATTGTCATTAATGACTCTTGATTAAAACCTCATGTACCACTTGAAGGTGTTCCTCGGGCCTCGGGGATCCGTTATCGGCCCTTTATCATTTACTGTGTACACTGCACCACTTGAAGATATTATTGAAGCATGTGGTTTAGGCAGATAACCAGGCGCGGATCCAGGGGGGGGGGCCGAGCGTGCCTTGGCCCCCCCCCCCCCGCAAAAAAAAAAGAGAGAGAGAAGAAAGGAAAAGAAGGGAAAGGAAAGAGGAGAGAAAGGGAAAGAGAGAAGAGGAAGAAGAAAAGAAAAGGGGGAAGAAAAAGATCGGGGGGCCGAAAGGGCCTTGCCTCCCAGGCTGTTGCCCCCCCTCCCCCATCACAAAAATAAGAGAGAAGGAAGGAAAGGGAAAGAAAAAAGAAAAAGGGGAGATACTGGCGAACTGATAGGGGGTAGGGGGCTTGTGGGAAATCAAATTTAAACGTGGTTTATTTCTAATTCTATAACGGTAGATTACAAATAATGCTGAAATGACATAATTTCAGAGATTTTTCCTCACTTTTTAGTAAATTATACGTTTTTATGTGACAAATTCCTAAATTTACAGCCAGGCAAGAAATGTGATTCTTGAGATTCCTACATGGCAGGGCCCGAGGAATGGCGTCTTCTTTCTCTAATGATTTAATAAAACGTCAAAACTTCCGCGTTTCGCGCAGGAGGGGAGGGGGGGGGGACTGAATTCAGACAAGGATTAAGAGTCGAGAACGGTACAGCGAATCGTCTTCTTTCTCTCACAATCTTATGAAACGTACAAAATTCCGCGCTTTGCGCGGTAGGGGAAAAACTGAATTCAGACGAGGATTATTATCGAGAACAGTATAACGGATCATCTTCTTTCTCTAATGATTTTAATAAAACCTAAAAGCTTCCGCGCTTCGCGCGGGAGGGGGGGGGGGAAACTAAATTCAGACGAGAAATATTTTTCGAGAACGGTACAACGAATCGTCTTCTTTCTCTAATGATTTAAATGAAACTTAAAGCTTCCGCGCTTCGCGCGGGAGGGGGGGGGGCGAATTTAGAGAAGGATTAAGAGTCGAGAGCGGTACAACGAATCGTCTTCTTTCTCTAATGATTTAATGAAACTTAAAAGCTTCCGCGCTTCGCGCGGGAGGAGGGAGCCTGAATTCAGACGAGGATTAAGAGTCGAGAACTCTACAGCGAATCGTCTTGTTTCTCTAATGATTTAATGAAACGTTAAAGCTTCCGCGCTTCGCGCACGAGGGGAGGGGGGAACTGAATTCAGACAAGGATTAAGAGTCGAGAACGGTACAGCGAATCGTCTTGTTTCTCTAATGATTTAATGAAACGTTAAAGCTTCCGCGCTTCGCGCACGAGGGGAGGGGGGAACTGAATTCAGACAAGGATTAAGAGTCGAGAACGGTACAGCGAATCATCTTCTTTCTCTCATAATCTTATGAAACGTCAAAAATTCCGCGCTTCGCGCGG